TATCAAGGAATAAATATTTGTATAATATCTAGAAGAATGTGATTTAAAGAAATTGTAAATAAACAACAGAATATTAATATGGAATTAATTATATTAGTATATATGTATAATATTATTATTAATAACTAATATTCGCATGGAGTACTTAAATATTCAAATCTAGAATGCCGCTATACCTAAAGAAGAAAACATTCGATCAATATGTACTACCAGTCAGAACCTATGCGAGCAAAATCTGGTCATTTAAACTGACATCATAAGGAGAATGAATGTCATACAACGCTCTATAGAATAGAATATATGCTGGGAATAACAAGAAAGGCCGTAAAAACAATAGAGTGGATAAGACAAAAGACTGCCAGGACCCCATTAGCCAACACGCCACGCCAAGCGACGCCATGCTACCCCACATTATGAAGATCTGTGCGTATGTTTTTACATTTAATTACATGTATTGCGTACACGCTAGGCCCCACGTCACGCCATACCACGCTATCACACGTGTGTCGTCTGTCCCAGATCTCATGTGTTCACTCTTGCCACGTCGCAACACGTGGGTCCACGTGGGAAGCTTAAGTCTCTCAACAGGCTTAAGTCTCTCAACTGACATTGGGCAGAACACCTGGCAAATAAAACGGACAATAGATGGACCACAAAAATTACAGCATGGTACCCACCAGGAATTCACTGACCTAATATGAGACTATAATATTAGGAATATTTCCTTAAATCTTCTTATAGGGTTCACGGTAATTAATAATAGTTATTTCAAGCCAAGAATCCTCCCTTTTATACTGTTATTAATGGAATACTTAAATTTTACATTATAATTATACACAGTTCTTATTAAACAGTAATCAACAATTAATCAGTTTATTCACAATTGAATAAAATATGATACGTACTGAATGATTGAAAAAATTTAAATTTTTTGATATATAAAAGATATATCAAAGAAAACGACATACATTTTCAAAACAATTTCGTATTAAACACTCCAAAATATAAAAAGGGCGAATAATCTTCCCGGCATATAAATCCCGAAGAAAAAAAACGGAGATAAAAATAAGAAAATATAAAAAAGAAACTACAAAAACGAATTTCTTTGTTTCTTCCTTCCGGTCCGCAATAGATAAAAGGTCCTTCTCCCGCTCCCAGTCTCACTACGTAACAATCTAACGCTGAATAGAGGAGGGAACCCTGGATAGGTAAGATATAATAAACAGACAGATTAAAAGGAACATTTTCTATTAAAAATTTAAAATAGCGCCGCTCAGGGAAATACATGCATAATAGGACCTTTTTCTACCGGCTCCACTCAACTAAATATTTGGAACCTCCTTTTAAATTTGTGAAGTAATAACTTGGGGCGTAGGAACAACCCGGGTAACAATTTAAATGTTTCTATTGCGAATTTAAAAATAGGATGATACGTTTCCGAAATATAATTGGAAAAATAATAGAGACAATGTTTGATATTGTTGGTTTTAAATTATTCAGTTTCTTTTCACAATTGAGTAAATTATGAGATGCATTTAATGATCTCAAAAAATTAAATTGTTTGGTATACAAAAAATGAATCAAAGAAAACGATCTAAATTTTCAAAAGAATTTCGTATAAAACACTCCAAAATATTAAAACGGCGAATATTCTCACATAATCCCGAAGAAAAAAATGAGATAAAGAACAAGCAAACAAAACGAAGAAAATGACAAAAACACACGTTTTTGTTTTCTGGTCCGTAATAATAATCCGGGGGACGTTTCGGATAGAAGCTCCTTCTCCCGCTCTCAGGCTTACTACGTAAACAGTATAGCGCTGAAAGAGAGAGAAAAACTTCTGAATAGGTAAGATATAATAAACAGGCAGATTAAAAGGAACGTTTTCTATTAAAAATTTAAAATAGCGCCGCTCGGGGAAATACATGCATAATAGAACCTTTTTCTACCAGATCCACTCAACTAAATGGGCCTGGAACCTCAACAATTTAAATGTTTCTATTACGAATTTTAAAATTAGAAAGAGGGGTTTCCGAAACATAATCGAAAAGATAGTAGAAACAATGTTTGACACTTGTTGGTTTTAAATTGTTCAGTTTCTTTTCACAATTGAACAAATCATGAAATACATTTAATAATCTAAGAAAATTGAAATTGTTTTGTATATAAAAGACAAATCAATGGAAACGATCTACATTTTCAAAACATTTCGTATAAAACTCTCCAAAATATAAAAAGAAAGAATATTCTCTCATAATCACGAAGAAAAAAAACAGATAAAAAACAAGCAAACCCTGGATAGGTAAGATATAATAAACAGGCAGATTAAAAGGAACGTTTTCTATTAAAAATTTAAAATAGCACCGTTTAGGGAAATATATGCATAATAGGAACTTTTTCAACCGGCTCCACTCAACTAAATGGGCCTGGAACCTCATTTTAAATTTGCCAAGTAATAACTTATGGCGTAGGAACTACACGGGTAACAATTTAAATATTTCTATTATGAATTTAAAAATGGTATGATATATTTCCGAAATATAATTGGAAAAATAACCGAGACAATGTTTGAAATTTGTTGGTTTTAAATTATTCAGTTCCTTTTAATTATCTTTATTTATTATCTCTGTTCCATTTAATTATCTCAAAAAATTGAAACTGTTCAGTATACAAAAGATAAAATCAAAGTACACAATATACATTTTCAAAACAATTTCGTATAAAACACTCCAAAATATAAATGTAGCAAATAATCTAACATCACGAAAAAAAAACGGAGATAAAATACACGAAAATAAAAAAAGGAAACTACAAAAACAAACTTCTTTGTTTCTTCCTTCCGGTCCGCAATAATAATCCGTGCGGCGCCGACGTTTTGGATAGAAGCTCCTTCTAGCGCGCTGAAAGTGAGAAAGAAAACCCTGGATAGGTGAGATATAATAAACAGGCACATTAAAAGGGACGTTTTCTATTAAAAATTTAAAATAGCGCCGCTCGGGGAAATACATGCATAATAGGACCTTTTTCTACCAGTTCCTCTCAACTAAATGGGCCTGGAACCTCCTTTTAAATTTCTGAAGTATTAACTTGGGGCGTAGGAAGTACCTGGGTAACAATTTAAATGTTTCTATTGCGAATTTAAAAATGGGATGTTTCCGAAATATAATTGGAAACATAATAGAAACAATGTTTGATATTTGTCTAAATTATTCAGTTTCTTTTCACAATTGAATAAACTATGAGACACATTTAATGATTGCAAAAAATTGAAATTCGTTCTGGACCCATCTGACTACGTTATATAATTCCAATTCTCGTAGACTGTCCGCGTTGCGTATTCTTTCTTTTAATGTGCACTTTTTTATAACTCATAAAACTTCTTTTTTCTTAATTTTCCGTATAAACTCTGAAGTCATTAAACAGTTCAACGTATTCCACACTAGACTGAAAGCATAAGACGTCTAATAACAGTGATATTAAATGTTCCAATGATTTACGATGGGGACGTAAGTGTTCGTAAAATTTCAAATTATGTATGTAAACTATTTAAACGGTTGGAAATGCTGATGAAGGCGATAATGTCGAGCCAGAACCAACTTTTCTTGTTTGGTTATACCTTGCAATTAAAAGAGTGTGTCTGGGCGCATTTTAAAAGAGTAAATGAACGTATTTGCGTGTGCGTGTATGTTTTGCCGTATTAGGGAGGTTTGTTTACTTCATTTTATTTTACTATGTCCCAATATACATGATTTTACTTGCGAGTATCGCAGATAATAAACACACTATTTGAGCGTAAGCTTAAGAGCGATGAACTCAGTAATCATCAATTTGAAGTTGGCCAAACAATGTCTAGAGAAGCTGGACAATTAGGCAAAGACACTCGAGGAAATTTCTCAGAACTTACGATGGAGAAAAATTAAAGATTTTCCTTGATTTAAATAAGAACAATTTTCGGACTCTCGCGGGGTTTTAACGGGACTTAACAGGAATATCCTGAATTAACAGCTCAGTAGATTGAAGCTAAGAATAAACGGCGAATGCAGATTCTGTGGGGAAAATGGAGAGACAACCTCATCACCGAGTGCGCCGAGACGACAACTATTCGTACCATAAACGTAACCCGTATGACTGATATCGGAGATAGAGGACTAACCTCTATAAACCCGTCTCAGATACTGTATAACGCAACCTTGGGTGAAAAAGTTTATAATGAGAACTCAGATTCACCAGGTTCCGTTACAAATAGGTTCCAGCTAGCTCAGTAAATAATTAAGTAAAATATATATGCACAGAACAAGAGATAATATCAAAAGGGAGGTGTATGGAAAAAGTGTACTGATTGAAAAGTCTAAAATGTACTGGATTCGTTTAATAAATATTAAATTTAAAGTTAAAACAAATTACCAAGATCTATCATAAAATGTAGCAAATATTTAAATACGAAATAATGAAATATATATATATATATATATATATATATATATATATATATATATATATATATATATATATATATATATATATATATATATATATATATATATACTAGTAAAATGAACTATCCGTAAAATAAATTAAATCATGAATAGTATCACAAAATATTGTTGTGACTAAACTGTGAACAACCCTGATGCGTGTTTGTGATTATGATTAAATGTCTATAAAGAATAAAATGAAATTTAAATGTAAAAATCCCCTGGTATACCAAGTTCACATACGATCGTATATTTAATGTAATAAATTTTAATCAATCATAAAAGCAATAAAATAAGAGATGATTAAAGTCTTATCTGTTATCCAGTGATCGTTCCAGTCAGTCCATGAGAAAATCCAGATTGCCGGTCTTCAGTGTCACAGTGGCATTCCTCGTCACAGTGGCATTCACGTCACAAGGGCATTAGTTTCAGTACCAAATCCAGTACAAAAAATTGATAAAAATCCTACGCTAAACCGTAATCATTACTAAGAGCCAAGGAACAAGAACCCTAAAATGTGATCTATTTTAGTGACACGTTCTAGTTTGGACATAGTAAAATACCTTTCCACCATGCGGACCTTCCAAGACAAGATGGCGTCTCAACGCATGTTACTCCATGGAAAAGGGTTCCTTAACTGTCCTCGTACTCATCCCAGTACGTCCACGCACCCATCTACAACTCCTGTCCTCTAAAATAAATAGTTGTAGAAGAACCTTACACCTAAGAATGTCTCTTACCCAACCAACAAAGATATCCCTTTTCAAGGTTTCCCCGGAATTCCAACTACACACAGGCCAAGCTCAATTTCTTGCCAATCGGTCTTCTCGACCATCAATGAATTCCAAGACCGTAATTCTACTGAACAATCCCAATATGGAACGGCGACCAGCCAAAATTTCACTAGAATTTCTTTTATTTTCGGCAGAGATCAGAAGGCTTCCCTTGCTTTCACCAAGATGGTTCAAAGTCGAAAAAGGACGCGTGTTTGCAAAATCCGCAAAAGACGCTGGACTCCAAGATACCAACACAAAATCCAACACTGGCAACCAGTAAAACAAAAGACCCAAAATAAAATTTGATGTAAAATTTTATTTAATACATACGGATTGAGTGAAACATTTTATTACATCACAATAAAATTATAATAATCCCTATATGAACATAATATCTTCGGAAAATTATTAATACATTTTCCGATCATATATAAAACCGTTTAAAAAGATCGAAAACCTAATTTACAAAGACACATCTGTCAAACTTCAACGTCGGTGTCAAACGATCAGCTGACAACAATTGAAACGTCACTCTGTAAATCGTAATATAAACAAGATGAAATTTAGGGAAAAATCAACTATAATCAGGTAAAATCAATTGATTACACACAGGAAAAATACATAATAAAAATCTTTAACCCCTATGTATATGGCCGACCCAACATTCCCACTTGTTGCGTTGAAAACAGACAAAAGATAATCATATCAAGTCTATGTTCAAGAATCCTCCGAAGAAATATGCCAAGAAAATTATCCTAACACAAGCATAAGTCTAAATAAAGAATTAGTAACCACTGTAGAAAGAAAGGTAGGTTTTAAACAGACAAATTGATATTTTATTAATGAGGTTTTATATTACACAGTTATCGGAGACAACTCCATCCCAAGAAATTGTTGTGGTGAAGAGATTTAATAGATAAGATATTATTAGAAGTTATATGTACAGTTAAGAAGTAAGCTAATTAAACGTTATTATTCAAGTTATTCAAGTAAGTTTAGTTTTATTCCTAAAAATAAGCAAAATAAGTAAAATAAGTTACGGTGAAATTTTAAACCGTAACAACTGGCTTTTGTCAAAACCCTGCGACTGAATGATGAGAAACTCAAGAAAGGGGGAACTATAGATCTATAAAGTCGCGGTGATTAACATCTCCCCTCTTGGTAGATATTAAATATGGTTAGTCTAAGAATACAGAAATCTTATTAACCAAAAAAAAACTTTTTTATATCTTCTTCATATAGTACTATCTTCTAATGAAGGTTGGCAACAATCGCGGCGAAACACTGTCTATCCTGTGCAGGCTCGAAACAGTTCGTGTGAGTTCAGTCCAGTCCAGTCTCGTAAGTTTTTCAACCAAGAGCCCAAGTCCTCTTCTGCCTTCTACCTTTCCATCTATAATCAACTTCAGAAGCTTTGCTCTGCTACTGCGTTTTTTTTTATATTTGCAATTAATTCCCTTTCCTTGTTAAGCCTCCCAAAAACCTCTTCGTTGCATACATGATCTTTCCAGGGTATTTTCAAGAGTCTTCTGTAGATCCACATTTCAAAAGCTTCCAACCGTCTTATGGTGTTCACATTTTAATCGTCCATGTCTCACAGCTGTATAAGAGGAATACATAACAATGGGCAAAACGCAGACGTATGTTGATGTTGAGTGATCGGTTACATAATAGGTTTCTCAATTTGTTAAACATTGATCTAACTTGTTCTATACGCGATGTAACTTATAAGTCGGGGTCAATGTCCGATGTTAGCTAGGAACCCAGGTATTTGAACTTATTTACCGTGTCTACGTATTGTCCGTATACTCGTATGTTGGAGGTGGAATATTTCTCATACTAACGACCATTATCTTGGTTTTTGTCGTGTTTATTTTAAGGCCCAATGGATCTCTCGTCCGAACTATGTCGTCTAGAAGTTCTTGAAGAGCCTCAGGGTTGTCAGCGATAATCGCGGTGTCGTCTGCATTATTTGTTAACTTTACTTTTTTTTGTTTTTTTTTTTTACTTTTTTTATATAGCAGATATCTATCATATGTTTTTTTAATTAATTTTCCATTTAAATGTATTCGATATTCCCCTATAAATAGACACGTAATTTTGTAAATACAAATTATTTTCTATAAGCAAATCAAACGAAACAGAATTAATAACAAGGTAGAAATGCCTCCGTTGTCGTCGTTGGCTGAATTTCCACCAAACTCGAAAACAACAAAATAAACGATGGCTTCGATCGTCTCAACACAAACAGAATAAACAGATAAAATATAATTTCGAATTTCCTCGATTTGTATTACGTATACATTAGAGATGGGCCGTAATATCGTATAATTCTACCTAGTATCGATAGTTTCGTGTTCGATATTTTAAACAATTAAAACAGTAATGCAAAAATAAAACATAACAAGTTAAAATAAAATAGTATACAGGAGAGTAGAAATGCCTTAGCCCCTACAAGTCTGCTAATTCCAGCATTAAGTTCACGAGGACTTAATGTAGAAATACTTTTTTACTTCTCTGTAAACTATTTTATTTTATATTGAACCCTACTTTACTTTTAGCTCCATCTACGATTAAAATTACTACAAATTATGGATTAAGCTTGTAATAATTAGTTAACTCTAGTTAACTCGGTACTAATATTCTACAGGATGTGTCTTAAATGAGTGCAAGTATTTTTTCATCTCAGAATCAAGTTGATGAGTTGTTTTCCGAAAAAATTGTTGAAAATTTTACATTCTTCATGATGTTTTCCGGATAATTTAAAAAACTGTTTTAGAACCGCAAGTTCATTTTTCTGGAGTTTCTTAATGGTGTGTCGAAACCTTGCAATGTTGCCAGTTGCCCACATATTGGATATTAGTGACTTTATAATAAGTTTGCAGATAGATAGAAGGGGAGAAGTTAAACTTCACAACCTTATAGATCTATTGTGTCAATCTTTCTTGAGTTATAACTGAACATACAGTCTCAGGGCTTTGACAAAAGACAGTATCTGAGACGGTTTTACAGAGGTTAGTTCTCCATTTCCCATTTCTGTTGTACCAAAGTTTATGGAACAAATTGTTGTCATCTCGACGCACTCAGTGATGAGGTGTTCTGGTATTTCCCCATTTTCCCCACAGAATCTACATTCGACGTTATTTTTCAGCCCTAAAAAACGGAGAATCACTAAAAATAAGTTGAAATCAAATCAATCAAAATTTGTTGAAAATATATTTTTACATTATTCTCTAACTGACATTTTGTCCGAAGAAGCGCTTCCAAATATATATCAGTGCTTTTTTCATACGTACATAGCGTCGTCCCATTTGAAAGTCTAATAAGGTCGAAAAGCTTCTAGGTCTGGCACGACACAGGCACACGCTCGACAAAAATGACGTTTCGTCCGCCGAAGTTTTAAGTGGCGTAACAGCATTGCAAGCTATGCGGGGATTAACGTAGGATACCCTCTTGCAGCGGGATCAGGATCGGACTCCTCCAGGTCCGGATTTGTTAAATATTCATTTTAAGCAAAGAGTAGTCGCATCTCATTAAAGCGGAGGGGCGAAAGTTTTTAGTTTGGGTCGTCATTCTCCTAAAAGCGGCGATTAACGAATTCGTGACGCATACATTAAGAATGGAGCTGTAGAGTTCTCCAGCTGGGGTACAAAACTGCAAAGTTTAAAATGTACGTTTTTTGAGAAGGAAAATATATATTTTTTTTCAAACACCACAAAAGTATTAATTTCTGCGACGTGATTGACAACATAAAAAAGTCATTTTAACTCCCTAGGCATAAAAGTAAAGCACTTTTAGCATAAAAGTACGAAAATATATTATTAAATTGACATTAAGTGTCAAATTAAACGAGTGTAAAAATTTTGTGTCGCGAAATTATATTGGGTCGCGACCGTTGTACGCACAAGACATCCCCCTTTAGAACTTCGTCTGTCATGTTAAGAAATGAAAGTAAATAATAAAGCGCCTCTCGTGTTTGTTCGCACTCAAAAAATTTCAATTAATGCCTGTATATATTTCTAATATATTTTTTAAATTTACATTTTTTTAATTGTAAAGTTAGATATTACATTTAAATGGAATATATTACATAACAATTATGTCAATTACAGGATTACAAGCTTGTTTTCTAACATTTTTTAAATAAAACGAATTATAAAATTTCAATATATATGTATATTTGTCGTAGGTATGAAAAAAGTAAAATATAAAATGGACAAACGCTTAGTTACATTGCAATAAAACTTCCACTTTTAGTTTTGCAATCCAAACGCAATATTTCTATTTCACAAATAAAAATATCCGACAACACTAAAATCACTGAAACTTCCGCAGCTGACAACGAAAACTGAAAAATATAACGGCACTTTTTGTTTTGGACTTGCATATCAACATTACGCTGTACTATTATGTGTTTGTTGTTGAAATAATATAAAATATCTAATTATAACTTCTAAATTTTAATATTTTAACATGATTTTAACTACTTTTGACAATAACTAACTTTTTGTTATCAAGATGACATTTTAGACGGCAACTGACATATATGTCATAATATTTGAATCTTAAATATGTATGTAATATAATTCAAATTACTATAATGGAACTTTATACTAAGAAAACATTTATACATTCATAAAATACAACAAAGTCTAATAATATAGTTTGAAAACAATGAATATTGAATTAAAATTGAAAAAGTTAAGCGCGACCCCTTGTGTCAAAATTAGATGATTAAATTTTCACAATTTTTACACCATTTGATGACCAGTGGCGCCTCTAGTGTTTGTTCGGGCGGTTGAGCTTTTACTCCCGCTTATGGCCATTAAAGAAAAAGTTCTAAAGGGGGATGTTTTGTGGTTGTACGCGATCTGGCGCTGCTATAGCAGTTGCTAAGAACAAACGCAAACAAAAACAGAAATAATTTTCTCTTGTCCATATCTCTTGTCAAAGTCAGAATCTTCAAAAATTATAAAATCTTTCAAAATCTAAACAGTTCATTGAAAAAATTCCGAAAAGTGTTTAAAGCGTCCATTTTCAAAGTAATTATTGCTATCTTGTGAGTTTCATT